AATGCTAACGTCTAGTCGATAAAATTGACTATTACCGCGTTGCTCGAGCAAAAAACGTCTCAAGCAAGTACATTCGCGACACTCTGACTTACGTGTGTAGGTTTTTTCTCTCTCTACACACGACAAAAACGATACGACCTCTCATTCCCTTCATTTTTTTTTTTATCTGTTTTAGCTTGTAAGTTTGATTACTTATCAATAGGACATTGTGTCACCATTTTGTAAATCTATCACATTTGAACAATGAACAGTACTTAATCCTTTTATAGACTTAGGTCATCGTCCTAGAAACTTGGCATCAATTTGTATATAAAGTTTGTAACTAAGTATCAAACTCTACTAAGAGCAAAGGCGTACAAGAAGAATGGAGGAGTTACTCACCGTTCAGACCGTATTTCTCCTGATTCCTCTTGACTTGATCAAGAGATAATCCTTTGTCAGGGTCAACATTAAAGTAATTTAACACCTCGTCCACTGTTTTGCAATGGCCGTCCTCCATGGTTACCTTTGTATTAGTACTTCACTAATCTTATCTGTTCAGTGGATGTCCACGTTCATTCACACTGCAGTCTTCTGCAATTATAAACAAACAATTACAGTTTACTTACTTGCTTCAATCACTTGTCCGTTTCGATGAATATTCGTCTTCCTCGTAACATTCACAAATCAACTGTTATTCGTACAATGGGCAATCAACTACAAATGATACGCAATATATAAAACTGAGGTTGATGAAGAAACGTACAAACAAGGAAGACGAATATTTTTAGGAGCTTTGACTCCAACTGTTTCAAAAAAAAAAAAAAAAAAAAAAAACACTGAAAAATAATCAAGGAGGAGAATAATCCACTGGACATTGGAATAATTCGTAAATTCACAATTTCCAAATTCTCGAAGCTCGAAGAAAGTTCGCAGGAAAAAAGCGCAGCTTCGATAATAACAAGGAAAAATCACCGCGTGGTCGCCAATCGCGAGCCAAAGCTCTTCAGGTTAAATCCATCGTGGAACGCAACATTCCAAGCGACTGTACGCGACGTGATTTCCCCTGATCGTTCGGCACGAGACACACGGAGATTAACAACAGAATTGAACTCACCGGGGACCAGTACGAAGTATTTGTTTTGACGACGTGTCACAGAGAAATTACGTTACGGCTGTCGAATATTTAGGTTAGCTACA